TTCTGTTTCTTCATGTCATTCCAGACAGACTGGATGATGATGAGATCAGATCTCTGTGTGGAGCACTGGCTGTTGTCAGACTCCTTGTGCAAACAAAAATCTCACTGGATTACAATTAATGGCTAAATGAATGTTTGGAAATGTAAACTGATATTTCCTACTGACACACTACAGCAAAATATAGAAATAACTGACTTAAAACCATTTTTTAGCTGGTGAAAATACTAATGTTCTAATAATTTTTGCCCACCACTGTATATATATTAACTTTTATTTCATGAATATTTATACACTGAAAAAAAATTAACATTTCTAGTAAATTTCATAAGTAATTACAAAGAAACAGCAAAAAACACATTGAATAAAATGTGGAAACATTTTGAAGTAAAAAGACTGAAATGGTATTCCCTTCCCTTAAAATGTATTTCAATAATCTTTGTTAATTTACAACCTCAAAAATCACTTTTACAGTGTAAAATGCTATTGACAAAATATGTGCATTTGTAATCACACCTTTGAACATCCAGCCACTTACTACACTGATTTAAGACTAAGTGTTTTAGTGCAGTATTTCATGCTTGCATCAGTTGAAGAATACATGTTGGTATTTTCTTTTCTTTTCTTTTTTTTTAAGTAAGCAATGGAACTGGTCCGGTTGTGAATAATGCCCCTGGCAAGATGCACTAAACTTTTTGTTTTTGACTTTAGCTTCACTTCAGAAGTTCATTTGATCTTTTCTTAATATTTAAAATGGGTTTCTGGATTTCGTTTGAGATAACTAAGAGATGATTCACAGATGAAAGCGGTCCAGCAGAAAAAGGTTTTTGGACACATTGGTTCCACAGTCAGATAGCTAATCTGTGAGAGCAGTCTTGCAAAACAAACCATCACCCTCGCAAAGGACCTGCCACCTGGCTCTGATTTCCCTGAACAACCGTGCACATCGTTACTGAAAGCACACACACGCACACACGCACATGTTGTGGTCACTGTAGGTCAACACACTGTCTAACAAAAACTTGCTGGAAGAGCAAATGATGACAAAACAACTTCATAGCGTAAATAACTTTTAAAAGAAGTCTTCACCAAGCAGAATAGCCTCCAAAACAGATCATATTGAAATGCATAAGTTTTCATCAGACAGGAATAAACAGATCTGCGGAGGAGAGCCAAAGTGGTGTTGCTAATGCTTCCCCTTTGGAAAGGCCTGCGTTTGGCCCCGTGGGCAGAGGAATGATTGGCAGGCAGAGGAAAGCAGGAGCGAGACCCAGAGGGGAATGAGCGCGGCAGGGATTTGGCTTCACCAACCCCCCTCCATGTTTTGAAATCTAAGAATAAACAACGATAAGGCTCCAAACCCTTCCCGCCGTTTAATCTTGCCCCCCTCCACCCTGTCTCGCTGGGCAACCTACCTCAAATGGACTGGGAGGGAAGGAGTGGGCATGCATGGCTGCTCTCACCTGCGCAGGCTGGCTGTGCGGGCAGGAAGAGCCCCCTGACTGCTGCGCTAATCGCCTTTAACAGGAAGCTCCAGTGTCTCTGCTTATGATTCTTCCCCATCTGTCTTTCTCTTCAGTGATGAAGGCATCCGTCGAGATTTCTTCCCCTTCTACTGTATCCCATTATATTGTCTTTCATGCTGCTTTCTTAGTGTGGCCGGGGCCTGGAATGGCCCAGCTAGATTTCACTAAATACATTTAAACAGAATCTTAAATAAAAGCTATAAAATTAAAGAATGCCTGACTACGCCACCTTGGGAATTTCACCCAAAGAATCTCCGTAAACTTTGCACAAGTCCCCTACCCAGTGGCAAGCAAAACGTGGAGACACAGGTATCAAACACCAATCTTTTATTAAGGTAGCATAAAATCAATAAAATAGAAACATCAATTTAGAAAGGTTTATATGATAGTTAATCATTCAAAATGTCATGGAGCTGCGACCTAAAGTACAGGAAAGACTTTCCAGAAAGGGCTCCTAATCTACATAACACACTCACATACCAAAATAAAAACCCCAGTGCATGCCAAAGGCCACAACACTCAATGAATAACCACCACCACCGTCTAAAGAGGAGATCGACCCTGGTCAATAAAGGCCAGCAGCTCCTAAAGAAAAAAAAACTCAAACACACACACCAATTAATACGAATCGTCCCAGATCACAAACTACACAAATCTCAAATAATACACTTTAAATCAAAATCACAACAAAAAACTAAGGTAACTAAATTAACAATACAAGATTTCACAATATTAACAAAAACAAAAAAATATAATCCAACTCCAAAAATAAATATAGCTTATACACAGAAAATAGACTCATTTGAAAAAGAAATAGAAAAATCAAACAAAATTAAAACACATAAATAAAGACTCAAACTTTCAGGCACAAAACCTGTACACAACTAAGACAAAGTCCGTTGGCATAGGTCCAACAACACGACCGGGACTCAACGCACACACAGACTCAATGAAGTTCGACCTGGAACGAGACAGCGGTGACGCCACTGCAGGGATATTATC